TACCAAAGGCTGTGCTCTTTGATCTTCATCAGTAAATGTTTTAAGTCCTCTTATTATCTTTCTGATAATTCTCCACAATTTTCCTGTGTCCTTCAGAAAATTCATCCAGATTGTTGTTGTTAGGTCCCACTGATTCAGTTCTGACTCATATCTACTGTGGTACAACAGAGTGAAACACAACATGGTCCTGCATCATCCTCCAACACGTTCCTATATTTGAGTCCATTGTTTTAGCCACAGTTTTTATCCATCTCTTTGAGGGTCTTCCTCTTTTTGCTGACCCTTTACCAAGCTTACTGTCCTTAGCAACTGATATAATGTCCAAAATATGTGAGACAAAGTGTCATCATCGTTGTTTCTAAGGAGCATTTTGGCTATACTGCTTCCAACCCATGGTTCTTGATAATTTACTACCTCCTGAAATGGTTGAATGTCAACCAATTCTTTCTGTGTGTGAATTGAGTGAAGGTTTACAGGGCAGATCATCAGTTTTACATTCAGCAAATCATTGCAATGATTACAGTCCTCTTCATGTACCATCAGTTAACAGTATTTCCTCTGTTACCTTTTTTTTTTTCTTCCTGATACATACATACTACACTGAATGTATGTATTTGTTTAAATGTCCAAAAGACACATTTTGCAAGCCAGCCTCCTGCCAGCAGGCACACTGCCATTCTCAGTCCATGAGCCTGTAGTCCTTTGCTGCTCTGTCTCTCTGTGCCATCACCTCTGTTACCATTGCTTTTGTCACCACTATTCTGGTTAGGATCTCTCACTCCTCTCATGCTCTTCCCTCTTGATGGTCCTAGGGTCGTCTGTTCCATAATGCCAGATTAACTGTTCCCTCGTGTTAGTTAAACACCTCTTCTGTCTTTACAGTTGCAAAAATCACCATTAGTGTTGATAACAATTACTCACAATTGAATCATAAAATCATATCCCCATCACCTTTCACCAAACCCATCTGGACAAGAGGAAAACTATTCAGTGGGGATTCTATCTTAGCCACCTCATTCTGACACTAAGCGCCCTCATGAAAGCTTGTAATCCAGCCACTTTGTGCCTTTATAGCCCCCCATTTTTGATAGCCAAAGCCTACATTACCTGTCCCTATAAGCTCAGTGTACTAAGGAGACAAGCTTGATCTTTAATACAAAGAATCCTTCCCTTTTAAGTGGAAATTTTAGCAATTACATCCATAAGCAAAGGTCTAGTTCATCAAATTGTAGCAATTTACACTTGTTCCTTGTATCAGTCTTCTTTATCTTCATCTGATCGAGTTCTTGTCAACAAGCCATCCAAGCTAGATCAAATGGGATTGGAAGTTTTCATATGCCTCCTCCTATTTCAGACCAACTGGTCGCTTCATCTTAACTCTAGTCCCAGTGGCTAGGTCATGTCAGGAGTTTACACATCTCCCTGAACTTCTCTCTCTCATCTCAAGGTCATCGGGTGTCTGTGGAGCATGGACAAACTCAGTCTATGTCTTTATTGCTGCATTTTCCCCACTTCCCCTCACAAGTTGACCAGGGTGATCACCAATGAGCATACAAGACTGCTCATGGGTTCCCTCTGAGTTTCAGTCTTAGAAAGGGGTTTACCCTGATGGATTGATATTTCTTGCCTTGATAGCTCTGAGGCTTGCTTGATACTGTCACAGCCAAACAGTTTGCCCCCCAACTCCTCAAGCTGGTCTTTCTTTCAAGAAGTATCTTCTGTTCTTCTAGCCATTCCAGGTTTGAACCAATTCTTTTTGACACCACGACCTTCCATCTTCTTTTGATGCTTTCTGTACTGTTTAGCATTTTGCCCATAAAATCCTTCAATATTGCAACTTGATACTAGAGAAAAAAATTTTTTTTTCTTCAGTTCTTTCAGCTTGAGAAATGTTGAGCATGTTCTTTCCTTTTGGTTTTATAAATCTAGGTCTTTGCACGTCTCATTGTAATGCTTCACTTTGTCTTCCCATGCTGCCATTTGAAATCTTCTGTTTAGCTCTTTTACTTCATTTGCTTTTGCTACTTTACATTAAAAGAACAAGTTTCATAGTCTCTTCTGGCATCCATCTTGCTCTTTCCTTCCTTTCCTGTGTTTTTAAAGAGTTTTTCTTTCTTTGTGTATGGTGCCCTTTACGTCCTCCAACTTGTCTGATGTTTGGTCATTAGTGTCCAATGTGCATTTCTACTTTAGAGATGGTCTGTAAATCTAAGCATATGTTGACTCTCATGGACTTGCTTTAATTTTCTCCAGCTGTAACTTTAACTTGCAGGTGAGCAGTTGCTGTTCTCTTCCACAGTCAATCGCTAGCCTTGTTCTGATTGATATTGAACTTCCCCATCATCTCTTCCACAGATATAGTCGATTTGATTTCTGTGTATTCCATCTTGTGAGTTCCATGTATGCAATCCCTGTTTATGTTGCTGAAAAAAGTATTTGCAATGTATAAGTCATTGGTCTTTCAAAATTTTATCATGTGATCTCTAGAATTGTTTCGATCACCAAGGCCAACTGCTAATCTTTCTTGTGTATGTCCAACTTTCACATTCTAATCACTAGTAATTATGCATCTTGATTACTTATTTAATTTCAAACTGCAGAAGTTGGTAGAAATTTTGTCCCCTCATCTTTGACAGATGAATAAATTTGAATAATAGTCATGTTAACTTGTTTTGCTTACATACACATGGGTATTATCCTATCATTGACAGAGTTATTCTTTAGGAGAGATCTTCAAATGTTCTTTTTAGTGATGAATGTGCCAGCATTCGTCTCCAATTTGGCATTCCCAGTTTAATAGAGCATCTGATTGTGTGATTTCAAATTGGCTGCTTCAGCTCATTAAAGCCTAGGATATCTTTGTATATTCCATGTAATTGTTGACTACTTTTCGTTTTCCTAGATTCATACTTGGTACATTTTGCATGCCAGTGCCAATTATTAATGGATGTTTACAACTCTTTCTTCTTATTTCAAATCATGCCACGTCAGCAAATGAGGGTCTCAAAACATGTTATTAAGGTCAGTTCTACTTTGAAGAGGTAACGCTTCCACAGTTAAATTGAGTGCCTTCCAACCTGAGGGTTCATCTTCTGGCACTCTATCAGACGGTGTTGTTTTTGTTAAGTGCCGTCAAATCGCTTCTGACTCATAGTGACCGTGTATAGGGTTTCTGAGGAGCAGCTGGTGGGTTTGAACTGTCGACCTTGTGGTTCAAACTGACCTTGCAGTCCAGCGGTGCCACATCAGGACTTCAAATCAGACTATGTTGTACGTATGCTCCTTTTTTCTTGGTATATTTTATAGTAACATCTAACTTCTTCTTGAATCTGCTTAATGACTAGGAAAGCAATCAGTGTTGGTGTTCACACTGTCAAGCAACTGAAAACCCTGATTTAGTTTAGAGAACTATATCTCTATAGCAGTGTTTGTGAACAGTAAATCATAAAACTGATCATCTGGGAGTGGATATCTGAGAATGATAACATCAGCAAATTACACGCTGTAATATTGTATGTAACACATATTACTAACAATATTAAAAACATAAGGTCCTAAGTACAGTTCTTTGTAATTTGAATATGTCATATCTTCAGGACTTTCTATAGTGTAATAAACTTTTACAACGTGGTTCGTCCAACCTCATAACCACAACACCCCCCCTCTCCTGCCACATTCTTGTTGTTAGGTGTCATCATCGATTCCAACTCATAGTGACCCTGAATAAGATTTCTGAGGCTATATATCTTTGTGGGAGCATAAAGCCTCATCTTTCTCCCATGTACATAGGACAGGCTAAGGAGTCCCCTAGAAGTAGTGAGCAATGAGCACACACTTTGCCCTTTGCAGTGATTAGATCAAAGCAGGTTTCGATGGCAGCTCTGGGTGTCCTTTCCCCTTTCCCCCACTCTGGTTCTTAGTGAAATGGTCAGATGGTAGGAATTCAATAAGAGTCTTCAGAGAATGCTTTTCCTGCCCACCTACCCACTTCTTCATCCAGTCCATTGGGTTCCTCCCCAGAATGTATGGTGAAGGGAGCTTCCAGTCATGGGAGTGGGGACCTCCTACATCTGGAAGTCCCATGAGGACTAGGCACCTTCTTTTGGGCCCTTCACATTGTTAATAGTTTGAGTTCTTTCTCCCTGAGAAGATGGCATCTTTATTTGAATTCAGCAACTGCTTTTGAATCACTGATGGTTGTTTTGTTGGTTATATTTCACTGTGTGACTGTTTTTGCAGTAAAATTACTATCATGCTGAGCACCTTGTTGTATGTATTTTGTATTTTTGCTACTGTTCATATTTTCTTCTTTTTCTCCTCCTTTAGTACCTAAGTTGTGCATACTCTTCACTAAATCAGGGTTATATATGTTTCCTGATACAGGTGAGGCTACCAGCTATTACCTCAAAGCATTCAAGCAAAGTGGGAACCCCCATCAGCTCCAAAGAGACTTCTGGGAGTAGACTCTCCTTTCCTCCAATGTAAGTGGATGAGCATCGTGCAGACTGTCGGACTTAACTTTGGGTTTGGTGTGCCATCTATACAAATGACAGCATCAGCACACTGTGTTAATGTTGGCCCACTGACATTTGCTTGACTATGACTGCTATGGCTTTGCATAGTGTAATATACAAAACCTTGGCCTGGTCTTGCAACTCTTAGCTTTCTTATCCCATTTTTCATTTCTTCTCATCACCTCTTTCTGCTCCTGTTGAGCATATTTCTTCCTTTTCCACATTGAGTTTGCTGTGCCATTTTGCATGCCGCAACACTTTCTTATTTCGCCATCAGCCTGAAACCCACCTTCATGATTTCAAAAGAGCTTCTTTTGGCTTTTAAAGTCTGGACTACTATTTACATCTATGTGTTGCTTACTTCTGTTCTTTTGTGTGTCCCTGAGATCTAATTCTTGTTGTTGTATCTTTTAAGTGTCCTTGCTTTGCATTCACTTCGAAATATTTCAGTTGCTCTTTATTTTTCAGTTTCCTAGAATCCTGGTTTCGTGCTAGAATACACACTACTTCTAGTGAGTGGGGGAAAGTAATCCATTATATTACAGTATGAGAAATACAATGAGAATGCTAAACACAGACTGGGAGGGAGGAAAAGTAAATAGAGGAAGGACTGCTAAAAGTATTCTAACAATAAATAAGAAATGTGATGTGTGCAACCTGTTTAACTTCAAAGCTCTTGTGATTTCCATCATATCCAACTCCCGTGTCACTTTCTAAGTGTGTATCTTTCATTGAAATGAAACAAGCAGTAAAATGCTGGTCTAACAAAGATAGCAAGAGGACAAGGCTGTTTAAGGGAGCAGAGGGCTGGCAAATCATTTTAATATGAATATGTGTAAGGAAACCTGGTGCTGCTGTGGCTTAGGTATTGGGCTGCTAACTGCAGAGTTGGTGGTTCAAGCCCACCAGTCGCTTTAAGGGAGAAAGATGAGGCTATCTGCTCCCATAAAGATTTACAATCTTGGAAACCCTATGTAGGGTCTCTATGAATCAGAACTTTGGAGTTCTGGTGTGGCACTGCAAGATAAGCTATCTTCTGAAGGTTGTTTCACAGTGAACTGCTACAAATTTCATTTTCTGTAATTGGATATTATGAAGAAAGATTTTGGAAACTAGGCTAAGCATCCATATGTAAGAAATGCTTGGTTACTTCCTGATGCTGTAAAATAGAACGATAGAGAAGCCTCCATTGGGTGTTTTTTTTTGTTGTTGTTGTTTTGTTTTTTTGTTCTTTTAACATTGCATTAAGGCTTGTATGAGTGTTTCTAGAACAAATTAGATTCCAATACAACAATCTTCACATACTTTATTTCATGACATTGGTTATAATCCTGTCAATGCAACAGCATTCTTCCCACTTCTTCCCTGGTTTCCACATTCCCATTCATCCATCTTTCCTGTCCCTTTCTGCCTTCTGAATGTTGGTTTGGGGCAAATGCTGCCATTTTGGTCTTCTAAGGTTGATTGTTCTTAGGAACATATTCCTCATAGGTCTCATTGTTCTCTTTACAGACCTGTCTATTGCTTGGCTGAAAGGTTATCTCCAGAAGCAGGTCCAGCTCCAGGTTTAAAAGCTATCTGAGGGCCATGGTGACTCCTTATGATGAGTACTGGACTGCCAACCACGAGGGCAGTGGTTTGAGCCCACTAGCTACTCTGCGGGAAAAAGATGGGCTTTCTGCTCCAGCAAGGATATACAGCCTCGGAAAATCTATACAGGGCTGCTATGAGTTGGAACCGACTCGACAGCACTTAACAACAAAAAGAAGGGCCACAGTGTAGGGGGGTCCACCAGTCTCTATTAGATCAGTAAGTCTTGTCTTTTTATTTATTTATTTATTTATTTTATGATTTTGAGTTTTGCTCTACATTTTTCTCCCCACTGGGACAGGAGTTTCTGTCAGAGCACTTGGTAGTGGTAACTGGGCACTGTCTAGTTCTTCTGTTCTCAGGTTTGTGTGGCTCATTCATCCTTTGGATTGTTTCCTTGAATCTTTGATTTTCTTCACTCTTCTTTGCTCCAGATGGGAAGATACCAGTAGTTGTATCTTAGATGGCCACTCACAAGCTTTTAATATCCAACCACTACTCAACAAAGTAAGATGTATGCTTTCTTTGTGGTCTGTGTTATGCCAATTAATGTCTCCTAAGACTGTGGTCTTAAGCCCTCAAGCCCAGTGTGATTCAGTCCTTCAAGGTGTTTTATTAGGGCTAAAGGAGCTCTGGTAGCGTAGTGGTTACGAATCGGGCTGCGAACTGTAAGGTCAGCAGTTCAAAACTACCAGCGGTTCTGTGGGAGAAAGATGAGGCGTTCTGCTCCCGTAAAGATTAACAGCCTCGGAAACCCTGTGCAGGGTCGCTATGAGTTGGAACCGACTCCACAGCACATAACAACAACAACAAGTTCTCATGACTTTACCTCTGTATGCTTTACTATATGCATAGATATATTTGCAGCACATACAATATGTACATAGAAATATAGTCTGCCAAACCTGTATGGGCTCATGGTCACCCCAAATCTGTGTTTCCAATCATAAATTATTATTTGTTGTTACTATGATTGCAGGATTATATATGTAATAGTATTTAGTGTGCACCAGAGGTGTATTATTTCACCATATTCATTCAAGCTGTATGCTGAGAAAATATTTGGAGAAGCTGGATTATATGAAGAAAAACTTGGCATCAAGGTTGAAGGAAGATTCATTAACTACCTTGCTTGCTAATGAAAAGGACTTAAAATACTTACTGATGAAATCATATACCACAGTCTATGATATGGGTTGCACCTCAAATGTAAAGAAAACAAAAATTTTCACATCTGGACCAGTAAATAACATCAATATAAATGGAGAAAACATTGAAGTTGTCAATCTTTGCTCAGATCAACCATCAGCATTCACGAAGCAGCAGTGAAGAAATCAAATGACATATTGCTTTAGGCAAATCTGCTGCACAAGACCTCTTTAATGTGTTCAAGAGCAAAGTTGCCAGTTTGAGAAGTAAGGTGTGCTTGACCAAAGCATGGTATTTTCAATAACCCTATATGCATGTGAAAGTTGGACAATGAATAAAGAAGGCCATAGAAGAATTGATACATTTGAGTTATGGTGTTAGAGGAGAATATTAAAAGTACCGTGGATCACCAAAAGAACAAACAAATCTGTGTTGGAAGAAATACAGCCAGAATACTTTCAGAAGCCAGGATTGCCAGACTTTGTCTTTCATATTTCAGACATATTATCAGGAGGGACTATATTATCTCTGGAGCAGGGCATCATCCTTGGTAAAGCAGAAAGTCAGCAAAAAAAAAAAAAAAAAAACCAGGAAAACACCCAACAAGGTGATTGGCACAGTGGCAGCAGCAATGAGCTCAATTGTGAGGTTGGTGCAGGACCGGGCAGTGTTTGGTTCTGTTGTGCATAGAGTTGCTATGAGTCAGTATGGACTCCAGGGCACTTAACAACAACAGAAACAATCTCCCATTGTCTCCCCTTTTCCCTTCACTCTAGTTAATACATGTCTACTGTCTAGTTAGTGATTCTTACCCCCTTTTCTTCCCATTCTTGGTAACCATCAAAGAATATTTTCTTTCTGTGTCTCATACAATATTGATCCTGTTATGATTGACTCATTTCACTCAGCATAGTGTCTTCCAGGTTCAGCCATGTTATGAAGTGCAGATTCTTTATTACTCCTTAATTTTGTATTGTATTTATTTGTGTTTACATACCATAGTTTGTTTATTCATTCTTCTATTGGTAGGTAATTACTCTTGTGACTAATACTTTGTGTCATAGCTCTTATTTTTCTAGGATGCATACCTAGTACAGATATTTGCTGGGTGATATGATATCTCTATTTCTAACTTTTTAAGGCTGAACCATATCATTTTCCATGGTGGTTGTATTGTTTTACAATTTTACCAGCAGTGATTCAGAGTTCCAATCTTCTCACCCCCTAGCCAGCATTTGTTTTCTGCTTTTTGATAATTGCTGTTATTGACAAGGAGAGATGATATCTCATTATTATTTTGATTTGCATCTCTCTAAAGGCTAGTAATAATTGCAATTATCTCTTCATGTGTTTGTTGACCACCTGAATGTTTTCTTTGGTGGAATGTCTGCTTATAGGTTTTACTCATTTTGTAATTGGATAGTCTGTTGTTTTGGTCGTTGATGTGTTGAAGTTTTCTATAAATTCATAGATTATTCCCTTGTCTGATAAATCATTGCCAAGAAATTTCCTCAGTCTTTAGGTTACCTTTTGACTCTTTTGGAGAAGTCTTTTGATGTGCTTACTTGTTTAATGCTTAGGAGATCCCAGTCGTGTAGTTTATCTTATGCTGTTTTTGAATTTGTAGTTCATGTTTGATAGACAACTTGGGCCAGAAATTAGGGCCTCTAAAATCACCTCTATTTTTTCTTTAATCATTATAGTTTCAGGTTTTACATTTAGATCTTCGATACAGCTTGAAGTTATATTTTGTATATGATGTGAAGCATGGGTCCTTCTTCATTTTTCTACAAATGGATATCTAGTTTTGCCATCACTGTTAAAAAGACTGTCTCTTCCCAATTTAGTGGTTTTGGTGTTTTTCTAAGGTCAGTTGTCCATCTTAGATAGATTTACTCCTAGATTGTAAATTCTGTTCCATTGGTCTTTTTGTCTGTCGTTGTACCTGTGCTAGGCTATTTTCATTACAATGTTTATATGGTAATATAGTAAGCCCTATGACTTGGACTAGCACCAGAATATTGTCAGAAATAGTACCCGAAGGTAAACCCCTCAGGTTGGAAAGCATTCAAAATATGGCTAGGGAAGAGCTATCTCCTCAGAGTTGAATGTGATGATGCAAATGGACCTTAATTTGCTGATAGGGCACAGCTCAAAATAGGATAAACAACGGAAAACTTCCATTAATAATTGGAACATGTAATGAACAAAGTATGAATCTAGGTAAA